GGGTGAAAAAAAATTACTGAGGCTTTTTCCCTGAGTGAGGAATAGAAAATCTCTCTGGTATTGCCTGACTTTGGAGCCTTTGACATTCTCCTATTCTTTGGGCACATGCATTTGTGATGCAGGTTGTTAGGATTTATGTAACAGGAGCTTTGCCTGTAACCTTAGAATATTGAGGAAAAAGTCTAATCCCTCCAAAATGTAAATAGGTCTTGGGACCATGCTCTGGAAGATAAAAATACCACAGCTTATACCTTTGTGTTACTGTAATTCTGCAGCTAAGCTTGACTGCTCAGAAAGGATTGCCACAGCAAGTTTTAAGTAGTAGTTGCTATAAAAGATGTCAGAATGATGACAGTATTCTTAAATATGCCCCTGAGCCTAATTTTCCCTCCTATCAGTCCCATGGTCTTTGGGTGGCTCTCGTGTGAAAGCTGTATGCTGCATTCCCTTTGCTCATGGTGCCGCTCTTGGAGTTGAAGCTGGCAGCCATAGGACTGTTTGTATTATAACCAAGCTGTAAAAATGAAGAGAACAAGAATGCGGAGTCCCAAGAGGCCTCTAAAAGCAAACGTGAAAACTTTGTTTGCATAGCTTTTAAGCTTCTGGCTCACTTGTGTAGAGGATGTAAGCTCAGTGAGTGGAAACACATTCTTTCAAAGAGGGTCTGAGCATGTTTTTTCATTTGTCTGTGCAAGTCGAAAGGGCTTTGTAAAGGTGCAGTGAGTAAGAGTGATGTTGAAAGACCAGTATTAGGAAACAGTGTTTGATTACAAAGGAGGGTGTCGATGTATAAGGCTACTAAGATGGATGCCAAGTCGGTCTGATCTTTGATATAACCAGAGAAAAAAATGTCTCTTAAGTTAATTGAATTGGTGTCACTATATTAATTTATTGTGATGTTTCCTCTAAAACCAAATCTTAGTCGTTTAAAAATGTATGTGTGTTTTATTAGTGCTTTGTAGCTCAGGCGTTTTGGTTTACGATTTTAATTATAAAATAATGACAGGTTTTATAATATTAATGAGAAGCTTATAATCTCCCTCCTAGTCAGGTTTCTCAAAAGAGAATCACCAAGTTTGGTAACTGTGGTGAGTAAAAGTCAGACACTCTTTTTCCCCTTTCCTCCTCTTCATCTGACATTGCTGTTTGAAGGCTCAGGACAAGGTTTTATAAAGCCACGTGTTTCTGCTGTCATCACTATAAACAAGCTCAGGCTGCTCAGATAGCAAGTTCTGGGTCTGGAGAAAAATTAAATTATGCCATAATTTCACGGAAGCCTGCGTATGTAACATCTCCCAAGTTCAAGTGGTAGAGCCTGTGTTTCCTACCCTTTCTTTCTTGAGGACTAGCTGTCCGACACAGCCCACTGCTCTTACCTGGTAAGGCAGGAGTAGCTGGTGAGGTTGCTGATACTGGACTTAGGATCTAGATGCAGGAAACTCAGACAAGTGACAGCTTACTGGGCAGGTACTCTGTTTCCATGAACAGCTGTGGTATGACTGGATATACAACATATCCTCACAGTCTGATGTATGCTTTAAAAAGGGTTTGAGGTACCCCAACCCCAGCTGCTACTGAGGTCATACTAATAATCTTACATAAGAAAGAAGAGAGACTTCTGTGAGGAACCACACCAATGTGCCATTAATAGACTAGTACACAGAGAAGCAATACTACAAATTTTGGTGTGTTTCTCTAGTAACATTTCTGTGGAAGTCTTGAATACTTCTCTTTGCAAAGCCCTTCAAATGCAAACTCTCAAAGGAAAGGTATGACATGTGAGTATTTACATATCTGTCTGGCACAGATCTAAGCTTTTGCTAGATGGGATGGTTTATAAAGTTTATATATATATCAATATATATATATGCCTCGATCAACTTACTGAAAGTTGATCAAAGATTATCTATATGTTGTTTGAGAGCTTGTGATTGATTCAGGAGGCTTGTTTAAGAGTCTTTAGCTAAAGCTTGCTGGAAATACCTATAGAGTGAGGAAGCTGTTCAGTAATAGCTGGTGGCAAGTATAAGATATGAAAACTATATTCAAGCAGAACTGCAGAGTTACTGTAGAAAGAGTAGCTACACCTTGGTGTACATTACACTTATACCCATCTAGCACTGATTGGTTTTCTGTTGCCAGGGAGAAACAAAGTGTGCCCAAAAGCAATACAGACAGAAGAAACAGTGAGTCTGTGTTTATAAAATGTCACCACCCTATCCTAATGAATGAATCCACGATTGCAAATGTGAAAGGAGCTAGTCAAGGCTTATGTTAAGACCGTAACAAACTGAAGAAGGTTAGATCCAGACTGACAGATGCAGGCTGCTGTGTAACTGCATAACACTTTCTCATCAGCTACTGAAGGAAATTCTGTACTGCTTATTTTCATTACCTATTATGCACATGCAGTGTATGCATTTAAAGCTAAGACCTCTTGTGTTTTCTATGTAGACTTTAATAACCTAAATGGTAATAAACCACCCTGCTAGATGTTTAGAGCCCAGCATTAACTTGTTAGATCTTCACATGAACCTGCGATACAAATTGCTTGCTTTTCTTCTCCCATCTGCTTCTGCTGTTACATGACTCTTGACTTCCTTAGTCTCAATTTTGGCTTGACAACAAAATTGATACTTGGGCATTTCTTAAGCTGTGGCAAAGCCCCAAGATCCTGCTAAGCTGATAATACCATAACATGACGGGACATGGCTTCCTTGGAGATTAAGTTGAAGTCTGGCAGTTACATTTTTCCACAGTCTACACGCACACTTGTACTATCAATATGATGACTGTGTTGCTCATGTAGTCCAAATGCCAGCAGCCATTCTGGCACAACACAGCAGGAAGAGCTAAACAGTAAATACCCTCTTTATTACCTCCTCCCTTCAGTTCCTCAAGCCTCAGTCTTAATACTGAGTATTATGGCCAGGTGCATAGCTTTCCTTTTCTGTCTTGCAGTTATTTTTGGTTAACATATATAGTTGCTTACAGTTAACTAACCAAATTGTTAGTTTATGCATTCAATTTATATAATAAATGGCTCACATTATCTATTCATTGGTTTTCCCATTAACTTCAAGCATGTACTGTAGAGTAGTTGAAATTAATTTGTAAAGAGAACTGAAAGACTGATACTGCAGGAGTTCTCTATAATTTGCATAATTTACGCTCTGATGACTTTTTATGTGAGCATAGTTACTTAATTACTATAGTGCTAGCCTGGCCAGTTTGTTTTAGAAGGTACTGAAAATGTAAAGGTTGGTTGTTTTGGATGGTGGTGGATCACAGTCACAATGATGGGCTCTTTTGTTCCACTTTTACATAAAGCTAGTGCAGTCTGACAGCTGGTAGTTGCAGTGATTTTATTGTCATCTGACTGCTTGCTGTTCTACTGGTGATGGTGAACTGTGCTCAAAATAGATCTGCTACGGTTGAGGGACTTCAGGAAAAACCTAAGTGAAGTGACAGCGGAGAGGAGCATTCCTGAGGTGAAGAGATAGGGACTTGCTTTTCAGTGTAGTATATCAGTTTTGTACACTTTATTTCTGCTCTTCAATTAGTATTGTAACTGTTGTATTTGCAACAGTTTTTAATTGCTTTTAATATGTCATAACATTTCTTTTAATCTTGGTGCATAGGAATATGAATTATCTTAATTAAAAAATCAAGATTATTTCGGTAGCTTCTTTATTGCTTAATTCATGACAGTGAAGCAATTTTCCACTTTATTTACATAAGTGCATAAAGTGGTACGTTCTTGTGTTCCGCAAGTGATAACTTTTTTTTTTCCCCTCATATTTAGGAAGGCTGTGGAAGAGTTACTTAAAGAGGCAAAACGTGGGAGAACTAGAGCTGAGACAATGGGAGCTATGGGTTGGTAAGTTGTGCCAAGAGGAAATGAATGCTATGACCAATGTCAAAATAAGTCTTACATTTAACGTGCGACAGAAGTCTCTTACCTTTAATGTGCTTTGCGTTTAAATAATTTGTCTTCATCCAGGTATTAATTTGTCTGGGCAAAAATTTGAGTCCAGATAAGAAGGAAGTTCAAGTAAATTCTGCCTGCATTAAATTGCTTGACTCAATGTGTTGAAGTCAAAGCAACTGGACAACTGGGAATAGCTTTTATAATAGCGTTGATGGAATTGTGATGTTTGGATTGGAACCTTGTGAGTTTTGAAAATGCCGAGTAGCTTCAGTGTGCATGTACATACTGGCCACATGTTACTGAGTTAGATTCTGTTTAAGTTAAAGGAATTTTAGCCTGAATTTACAGCCTAACAAAGAAATCTAAACCCTTAATACAATGAAAATAATAAATGATCCTCTAGCAGAAAATCCACTTGTAAATTGCAGCAAAAAATAAACTTAAAGTATAATCCAGTAACCCAGGGGCTAATTTGTATAGCCAGTCAGAAAAGAATCACAGTATTTAAATCTTAAGTGCAATTCCGTATTAATTCTTCAGTGCAGTATTTCAGTTTTTACAGCTAGATTATCATGGAATGTAATGTGTGTAATTGTAATTAAAGAAGTAATAACATGCTGAGAAGGGTCATTCATCTTAAAATAATGTATATAACTTTGATAAGAAACTGTGGGATCTAGGGATGTCCATGCAAGTGGTGCACCAATTGACTGTATTAAACTCATTTGTAGATAAGGTTTGGCTTTCTCCACCAAGCTGAGATAAACCTGCACCGTTAATGAAGTTCTCAGCTGGTTTCTTGGTTATGTTTGTTTTAGTAGCTCTGAAGACAACAAAAT